TAAACTTTTTGGAAGGTAAGGAAAAATGATCGGGCACTGAGGTAGATTGTCTCCAAAGATGGCCACCACTAATTCCTTCCCTCCCTGTAGGCACACACCATCTCCCCATTAAGAGGTGGAGTTTATTTCTCATCCCCTTAAATCTGGCTCTGTGATTGCTTTGACCAATAGAATATGACAGGAGTGGTGTTCTGGGATTTCTGACCCTTTACTTAAGATGACTGGCAGCTTCCATTTCCTTCCTCTTGGAATTCTTCTTCTTGAAATCAACCACCATGCAATGAGGAAGCCAAAGCAGGTAAGTTGAGAGACCCAATTAGAGTTATACCATAATGGTGAAAAAGGTTTTCTGAAAGTTCACAGATGACAGAAGTATTGTGAAGAAGGAAGGCAAACCTATATCCCTAGCAACTGTCTACTCCAGTGAAACAAAACTGCCTCTTCCCTGATGGAAATAGTCCAATGTAATCAAACTGTATGTTCCCCCACTGAATTGTGCCCCTATCAAGGATTCACTGTTGATTTCTGGTAATGGCATTTGGACACCCAGCAGTGGACTTAGAGAATACCCTACCATTACCATTACCATTACCATTACCATTACCATTACCATTACCATTACCATTGTGATGTTCTATAGAGCACTGCTTATGACCAGGAACTCATTTTAAAGCAAATGGATCTGGCAATGAGCTTATGGAACTCATTTATCTTACCTTATCCCCCACTGCCATGAAGCAGCTTTCCTGATTGAACAGTAGGATGGCCTTTGGAAGGTCTCAGTTATAGGACCATCTATGTGATAGCACATTGTAGGGTTGGGGTAATGTTCTCCAGGATTCAGCATATGCTTTGAATTAGCAGCCAAGGTTTGGTGCTGTTTTTTCCAGCTCCAAGAATTAAGAAGTGGAAAAGCTCTCTCAAAATTACCCCTAAGACACGCTAGTGATACATATTTTTTTGTATTTTGTTTTATTCTTTGCTTCTCATCTCCACAACTTTGGACTCTGCTGGTTTAGACATCTTGGTTCCCAAGGGAGGAATGTTTCCACCAGGGAATAAAACAAGGGTTCCATTAAAGTGAAAGCTGAAACTACTACCTGGCCTCTTCCAACCACTAAACTGAGAGGTCATGGGGGAGCTTACTGTTTGGGCTCAGCAAGGGTGGGCATTTTGAGAAGGATTTTGAGAAGATTCTTTGTTGTGGAATTGTCAGGCATGTTTAGATTTTTGGTTCCCTGGGCACTGAGTGCCGGTAGAAACTTCTGATCATTGATCTAGCCACCAAACGTACTCCCCACCACCACCTTCCCAAATGCCCCGTAGGGATCTGGAATTGTCCCTATATGAGAATTGCTTTTCATTAGTGCATCATTTCAAGAGTGACAATGTTTATTTTTGCAACATTTTGATAAACAATAATAAAGAATAGGCTTTATAAAATATTTCTTATTGAGCTAAACAACATATTTGGGGCATGGTTGTCTTTCTGTTGTTTTTCACTACTTTATTTTCTAGTTGAAATTTAGTTTTAAAACATTTTATGGATTTAAATTATTCATATCACAAACTTTAAGAAATTAGCCAAGGTGAGGTCATTGGCTTTAAAGACGTCTGTCTAGACTGACAGACTCAAAATTGTAGATTTCAGGGCATCGGAGTTTTTCTGATAGAGGGCAAGCTGCAATACCATAGGGTTATTTGTCTTGATAGAAATATTATTATTGTTAGATAAGACATTCTGCTATACAGAAGGATGCACTACATTGGCCTCTGCATAGCAAGCCCAGGTTCTAAATTAAACCTAATTTGTGCCAATGGGGATTGCATCAGCTGGTTACACACATACATGCACAGCTCTGGTGATCCTTACTTTCTGTGTTCTTGTTTTTCATCATAATGTTTACTGTAGCAACTAATGCAAAATACTTCTAGAGAATTTGTTCCTGGTGTTGTGTTATGAGATCTGGCTCCAGGACAAGTTCTATAAGCTTCTCTGAGCTTCACACACTTTCTGAGAATGTCCTCAGCCTCCATTTTCACCTTGGCCCATGACTGCAACCTGAGACATCTCCCATCACACTTCTGAGGCTGGTTAAGTCACATTACTTCTCTGGGCTCTGACTCCCTTAATTCAGAGGTAAAAATACTGACTTGAAAAATAAAAAATGTAGTGAACTTAAAAAGCCTTTCCAGGGTTAGCATTCAGTGGGTCTGATTTAATTTTTGTCTTTCTCACTGTGTCCTGTACAAAGCTAGTGGAGTGACACCTCTCTACTTTTTAGCTATGTAGCAGCCCCCACAGAGACAGACCCTGACTCAAGGCACTGCCTGCAACACCTGATTAGAAGCTGCCCTCCTCCATCCAGTAACCTCCATCCTACCTCCTGCCCTCCTAGAATTCAGATTTCTAAGTATAAATCTTTTTGAATCACATATGGCCACCGTTAGAGGGTAGAATGTTATCACCTACTCTAAATCTTCACTGAACAGATGAACAACTGAGGCCAAGAGAACTGAGTTGCCCAAGGTCACAGAGCCAGCCAGGGGCAGAGCTGAGACATGTTTATATCTTCTGACTTCCAATTCAGTGCTCTGTCCACTGAACCAGGATGCCTGTCATCAAATGATTATGACTTTTCAGGAATGGTGTTTCTAGAGATAGCTTTATGCACTATATAGCCTTTGGTAAGATTTCAAGATGAATTTTTTGTTTCAGCTCTAAAATACTGACAGTGCATGTCAGGAGTCTGTGGACTCTGTTGCTCCCTTAGGTTCAGCAGCAGAGGTGGCATAATTGGAACAGGGAGCCTGACTAGTCAAATATACTTCATTCCTCTTCCCGGGGGCTATGCTGTCAGCATGGCCTAGTGAGCCATTTGCTGAATGGATATAAATTTCAATACTTGGAGTCTGGAATGACAATATCCAGCTGATGAAATGTAGAAAGATACATTTATTTAGCACATGTTTTTAGATTTCATGCTGGGTAGTGTAGTGATTAAGCTGGGGCTTTGGAGACACTCATATGGGTTCAAATCCCAGTTCCATTAATTATTAGCTTTTGATTCTTGCGCAAGTTATTTAACTGCTCTCTGCTTAACTTATACATATGAAAAATGGAGCTCTAGCTGCTGTTCCTGCCTACAGAGGTTACTGGGATAAAATAGATTAACATGCTCTAAGCACTTAGGACAATGCCTGATACGTAGTAAGTCCTATAGAATGGTTGCTATTACTGTACAATTTAAAAAATACATTTACATAAAACAAAAACACCTGTTTTGCCGGAATGAATGACACACATTAAATGTATTAGAATAATGATCTAGGAAGATACAAGGGAATTACAAAGGACGAAAACAATCTCTCCACCCTCACCCTCAAAAGCAGAAAACAAATGAACAAAAACCCAGGCAAGGTATTCCAGAGCTCCTGCTTTTAGTCACTACAGATACTGCTTCCTAATCACCTTATTGCTAAGATGAATAAACTGATGCTAAAATAAAGGACATCAAAGCATCAAGCATTCATACAGAGGCAGAGCGAGCATTTGGAAGGTGGTCTCCAGAACCAGATGGCAAATTTAGACCTTTCTTTACAGCCCTAAACTTCAGGGGGTCCAGGCTGTCCCTAGTCATGCTGTTGGAAGAGCCTGCTCAGATTCTTCTAGCCACACAAAGCTTCTGCAGTGAGTTGAGTGTTTTCCAACTGCAGAAAGCATTGTCTCTGATGCCTAGAATGCATGTCCATGAGTTTTGTAGGTAAGTTTTATACAAATAGGCAGCAAGAATGTAATTGTGAGAGATTAAAAAAATGTATCCCTCCAAATAGAGAACTGGCTAGATAAATTATGCTCAACCACATAAAAGGACATAGGCAGCATACAAGGTGGAATAATATTAAAGACCTAGAAAAATACTCACGAAATATTGTTATTTAAACAATAGATCACACTCTGTAAGGAATGTGTGTATACATACCCATACATGCGTGCATGCATGTACATAAAATGGCAGGCAAGGTGTGCATATCATAATATTAACAGTGATAATCTTGAACATGGCTATTAGGAGGAATCTTTTGACTTATTTTATCTATATTTTCCAATTTTTCTACAATAAACCTGACTGACCTTTATAAAGGAAAAATAATGTATTAAAAATAGCAGGAGAGGCACCTAGAGTAAAGGCTGCTTTCCCCATGGATATTGTGTTCCTGTTCTATAGTGAAGCTGAAAATCATCTTTTTCTGCTCCTGCCAGGCTGATGCAATGGCTCCCACCCTTGGGCGCAGGGCTGCTCTTGTAAAGGGGTGTCATAGCACAGATCCTGTTGCATTGTGGCTAGTGGGTACATTCCCAGTTACAAGCAGCTGGCAGAGAGCTTGGCATATGGGTATATTTGAAATGAATAATAATGAATTGGTAGGGGCTTAATAACTTGGATTTGGATACAAGCTCTGCCATTTATAAGCTAGGTGAGTCCCAGGCTCCTGGTCTGTACAGTGGCAATAAAAATTGTGGATCAACAGACCTCCAATAGTTTTTGTAAATGGCAAAGTGATGTTTACAAGGTGGATAGAGGTGCAGAGAGAGAGAGTTTATTATTATTGCTGCATCTATTAACAGGCTTAATCTTCTCATCCCTTATTTCTCTTTGGCTCCCTAAGGCATCATAGTTACCATAGCAGCCAGATGCTGATTATTCCTCCAGGGGCAGCAAAGTGAAGCCGAGCAAGCTCCTGGGTCCACATCTCTGCATGCCCTTCGCAGGCTAGAGTGAGATGGTCTGACACTCAGCCTCCTTTCAGGACCCCCATTCTGTCTTGGGTCATTAGACATACAAAGCCTGCCTCTGCAGTCTCAGGGCTCTGCAACCCCCTTTCTGAGATTTTCTTTTCCCCAAGCTCTATCTCTGGCGCTCTGCCTGGTTACCGTGGAAACAGGTTCCTCTGCGGACAAAGGAGGGAGCTGGTCCTGCTTCTTCCTGGTCCTGTAGATGAGGATTTTTAGACCGTGGAGACTGCGCTGCCCTGCCCTGCACCTGCCATCACTCCCCGTGTTCTCGATCAGGTGCAGCTTACCCTCCCTCACCACCGACACTGACGAGACCATGTGTAAAAGCGTGACCACAGGTGAATGGAAGAAAGTCTTCTATGAGAAGATGGAGGCAGCAAAGCCGGCTGACAGCTGGGACCTCATCATAGACCCCAACCTCAAGCACAATGTGCTGGCTCCTGGATGGAAGCAGTACCTGGAATTGCATGCCTCAGGCAGGTGAGTAGCCCAATAATCAGGGGCCGCACAGGCAGCCACTGAGGCACCTTCCAAGAGGAGACAGAAACATGGGGAACCCAAGTACTAAGAGTCAGTCTTGTTCTTGGGTCCATGTAGACGGGGTAGAGAGTCTCCAGCTGGGAGTTGGGACACTGGAATTTGGTTCCTGCTCTTCCACTGAGCCTCTGGGTAACCTTCCCTCCCTGAGCCCAACTCCTCCCTTCTATAAAAGAGGTGGAATGTATTGATTAGTTCTAAACTCTGCATTTTACATACTTTCAGGTTTTCATCATCTCTTAACATGGTTAAGAGAAGGAAGGCTTGAGATTTATTGGGGATCAAGTATTCTTGTCCTGGGACAGTTTTATTTTAATCTATTTAAATCAGCTTGACTTAATATAAAATACTGAACACAAGAAGTGTGCTAGAAACTGGCTCTACTCTTAGCTCCAATGCACTTCAGCAATTCAATTTCCTTCTTGGATCCCATTTTCCCATTTACAAAAGGAGGGGTTAGCCTAGATCCTTACTTTGTGCTTCATGGACAGGCAGCATCAAAATCACCTAGAACTTGTTAAAGATGAAGAGCTTGCATCCCGATCTAGACCTATGGAGTCAAAAATCATCATTTTAATAAAGGCTCCTAGGTATGTACAGTATATTGTACAATAATATCTGAGATGATTCCATTACTCTTGACTGGGGGTCTATTATGTAAAAACTTACCTTCTGGAAAAAGATAGGGAGGCTGAGTGGTGCTGCCTCAGGGTCAGAAGCAAGGCCTTCCTTCCTGCCCTGGTTCAGTCTATTGGACTCAATTCAAGAAACATCTGTTGGGTACCTGCAATGTGCTAGGTTCTGGCTCTGTGTCTAACTACACGTTTATGGATTGCTTTCTTATTCTCTCTGACTTAGAGTATAACAAAGGTTTGGACATTTTCTAACCCAAGTTTTGTAGTTCAGTCTGAGAGAGGGCAAACAGTCCTCAAAGGATGTGAGTAAAAGAGGAGATGAGAATGAAAACTCAAAGCCACTACATTTGTTGATAGAAGGTGTGTAAACAGCTGGACACTTGGGGGTGCTAAAGGCTGGACACTTCCTGGTAGGAACCAGGAGCTTCTACAAGACTGGGAAGGATTGTGGGGCTATATGAGGAGGGTTTGTGGTCCTCCAGACTGGCTGGTGACCTGTGATCCCCAGCTGGCCCCAGCTAGCTCACTCTGGAGGCTGAGAAATGATAATAGTATCATTATCCACTGATTTGGACCTAGCCTGGTTTGGATCTAGCCAGTGTTGACTACCACTGGTAAGAATGTGTGGATAGATCATACAATTCCTATATTATGCAGGCTACCCCCACTCATGTAGTGCACTGGCATGTTTTACAGATGAGGAAAGATGCCCAGAGGCAAAAGCACACGGACAAGGCCTAAGTGCACTGGGATGGAGGGAGTTGAGGCCTCTGCAGAGCACAGAGGAGGTGGCCCTGGTGACTGACCCAGGTGACTGAGAGTTGCTGGATGCCAGGTGCATCCTAAGCAGCTTGCTCTGGGTCTAGCAGCACACACGGGGGCAGGCTGGGCAGCCACCTGGGGAAAAATAATGAAGGTAGGCGACCACAAACATACCGCCCAACCCGCTAACTGCAGCTGTTGCCACTGCTTCCACTCGTTCTCTCCTCTTCTCCCCTATCCTCGCAGGTTCCACTGTTCCTGGTGCTGGCACACCTGGCAGTCGCCCCATGTGGTCATCCTCTTCCACATGTACCTGGACCGTGCCCAGCGTGCAGGCTCGGTGCGAATGCGCGTCTTCAAGCAGCTATGCTACGAGTGTGGCACTGCGAGGCTGGACGAGTCCAGCATGCTGGAGGAGAACATCGAGACCCTGGTGGACAACCTCATCACCAGCCTGCGCGAGCAGTGCTACGGCGAGCCTGGAGGTCACTACCGCATCCACGTGGCCAGCCGCCAAGACAACCGACGGCACCGTGGCGAGTTCTGTGAGGCTTGCCAAGAGGGCATCGTGCACTGGAAGCCCAGCCAGAAGTTGCTGGAAGAGGAGGCGACCACCTACACTTTCAAGCCGCCACCCAGCCCCTCCAAGCCGCAAGCCGAGACGGGTTCTGGCTGCAACTTCTTCTCTGTCCCCTGGTGCTTGTTTTGGGCCACAGTCCTGCTGCTGATCATCTATCTGCAGTTCTCCTTCCGCAGCTCAGTCTAAGATTCCTTTCGTGGGCCCCAGGGAACTGTAGGGACCCAAGGCCAGGGGGCCAGCCAGCTCGTGGGAGGGACGAAGAGAGACCTGGGAATGGGGTTAAGTTCTAACACTGATGCCGCCACGGACTCATTGGGTTCCCTGGGGAGATCACCCACCTTTTCCGTCTATGATATCATGGGGTTGGGCTAGATCATTGGTTTTTCCAAGTGAAACCCAGGGCCCTAAATTTCTGCACAGGTGCCTCAGGGACTTTTGAATTTGGAAGGCAGACTGAGTGAGTGGGTCTTCCGTCCTGGTGAAACCACCCACGCCCAACTCCTGCCTCCTCCTCCTGTTGCTTTACTCAGAACAGCTCCATCTTGGATGAAGTTCCATTTAAAATTTTGTTTTAAAAAAGATGAACTGCTTTAAAAAAAGTTTGAAGATTGCAGGACTAGGTGATCTCTAAAGGCCTTTCCACAGCGATGAGTGCATCCTTGTTTCCTTGTTAAGTCCCACCCCTACCCCCTATTATCTCCATCTGGGGCTGCGGCCTTAGATTAATGTCTGCCTAGTGTACAAGCCTTATCCACAGCTCTGCTTTCCTGTACACAGCAGAAGTTCCTTATGAAGAAAGAGAGGTGGGGTCACTAGGTTGTCCTTTTGCTGCTGGGTCCACAGGGTCCCTTGCTTCTCTTTTCCAGGCTCCCAGCTTTCACTCTGGGTGAATCTGGGGTCTACCTGGCTCAGAAATGTTGCTTAGGGTGGAGCCCCATAGAGCTAGGCTTCCCACCCGCTGTACTTGAACTGGCAGAGAATTTAGGGGAGGATTAGAAGGTAGAGTGTTAGAAGCAAAGTACAAAATCCCTAGGAAACAAATACAATGACTTTCTGTTGTAACAGGCTTTTCAGAGTTCAGGGATCAAGTCTGACTGATTCTCAGAAGTTGATGGCTGAAACACAGGAGCAGGGGCCTAGTGTCCTGGGCTCTTTGCTGAAACCCTAGTCGAGAGGTCTTCTCACATTGGCCATGCATGGACCCCCTCACCAAAATCAGCTGTCTGCCCAGAACCACAGGGATGGGGGTCATCAGCAATAAAGGCAGCATTAAAAACATGCCCATACACAAGTGCTTAGATATGTGGCAAGATCTTATACCTTTCTAAAATGGGGTGCAGTATGGTTTAGAGTGGCAGGAGAGAAGACCTTCTGGTAATAGGGGTACAGAGTGGGGTGTGGTGGGAGACAGAAAGCAGGAGATGGCGTGCCACCTATACTTTTGCGGTTCCTTGTTTACCTTACCTATCTTAATAATTTGACTCTTTTTTTCCCTTATCCCCCACTGCTTTCCTTTATAATGAAAAGTCACCACCATCTACAGTGGTGGAGGGAAGAGGGCCACTTATATAAAGATGGGATATTTTAATAAAGATGGGATATCTTCAGTCGGGTTTAGTAGTCATTAATGTGTGCTTCAGAGTCACCATTCTGTTCCTGATCTGTAATGGGCTGTTGGGTACATCCCTTCCCCTCTCTTTCCTTTCTGGGATCCCCACATAAGGCTCTATCTTCCACTAGTTTCAAGGTCTGGCCCAACTGTGATCATAGTCAAGAGGGATGCAGGCAGCCCTTAGTCAGGGACTCAATATAAGGTCAGTCTTATTCCTGCCTTTACTCTAATTCTAGTAACTGTCTGGTGACTTCTTTTGCTTCAGCCACACAGTATTCATCTCTTTGTTCAGGCCACATATCCTGAGCACCTCGTATCTGGCAAGCCCTGACTTGGGTGTTGGGGCCCAGTGGGCACTAAGGGACAGAGCCTATCTTTCAGAGATCTCTGCTTATTACAGAAGTTCTCAGCCCTGGCTGCACTGGAGAAATCCTGGGGAGCTTTTAAGGCAATATGAGGGCCCAGGCTCCACTTCAGATCAATAGAATCAGACTTTTTGGGAGTGGGCCCTAAGCAGCTGACTTAGAATAAAGTAATACCAGGTAATCCACCTGTGCTGCCTGGTATGACGTCTAACTGAAGAAAAGGCTTCCATTGGCACCTGGTCTTGTGATAATGAACCCTGAGATTTTCCTTAATGACCTGCCTTGGATTCTGTAGGATTAAGGTTCAGCTTCCCCACTCATTCCCACTCCTTACCCTGGGGAACTAACCCTTTCTCAAACCTTCCTGCTCCTGCCTGCTACATTAGCTTTATCTTGCTCTCAGAGTCTCCATTACTGACTGGCTCTACCGTCCTTGCCAGATGCTTATCAAACTTTGTTATTACTTGTCTATGGCTATGCTCCCTGCTAGAATGTGACCCCAATGTGAAAGTGACTTAACTCAGGTCTCACTGCCAGATAGTATCAGAACAAGGAATTAAACCCTCACTTAGTTTTAGTTTTAGCTTAGAACTCTTTCCTAAAGCATTAAGGCTCTTGCTATTCTGTAGGAAGATATCCACAGTCTATGGAAACTCACTCTGTCTCTCTTATTGTCCCTTAAACTTGCTATAGATGGGAGGGTCTAGGCTTGCTCACCAGCGTAGCCTGGTCTTGCTAAAGACTTCTCTGGCACAGTTTCCTCCTTCCTTCCTTCCTTCCTTCCTTCCTTCCATTTTGTACATTTATTTGGGATAGTTCTTTCTTTGCACACATTACCACATGCCACATAATGAACTAGTTAGGTACATCCTAGGTGTTATAAATGAACTCTTCAGGGACATTCCAGGATCCCAAACCTCTCCCACTGAAGCTTCTGTGCACTGGTCTTGTTGCTCAAGCCAGGAGGAGACCTACAGGCACTGCATTGTGGTTCTGGAGGCTGAAATCCTCAGTGTGGGGTCAGCAAGGAGTGCTGCCTTGATCACTTTCCTCAAACTCATTGGGAATGTGGACCAGCCAAGAAACTCGTTCTTTCTAGGAGTCAGGAGCATTGAGAACCAAGAAAATCACTAATGATGGTCAATTCCCAACAGATTAAGTCCATAGATTATTAGATCTGTAAGATATATTAAAGATACCTTGATCTTGGGCCCTTATGTCATGGAGAAAGTAAGGAACTTGATCATTATTATACAACATGAACTAAGGGAAGACCATGAAATTTGGGGCTAAGAAACACTGGATTCTTGACTTTGCTACTTACTAGTTGTATGGCCTTAGACAAGTTACTTAAGCTCCTCAAACCCCAGTTTGCTCCTCATCAAAATGGGAATATACTATGTGCATTGGAGGGCTATGGTAAGAAATAAAACATTATCTGTGACTGATCAAGAGCACATGCTCCTCCTCTTTCTCTCTTTTTTGCTTTCAGTCGACAGCCCCTCCCTTCTTTGAGTCTTAGAGTCTCTTTATGACAGACTCTTTCTCTTTATGATTTCAGCTCTGTAGGTAAATGCTTTAGGAAAAGCATGGAGAGAGCAAGGTTTAATTTTCCAGCACAAGGCTGAGACTTGGTCTATTTCAATACATGTACAGTCCTTTCTTTTCTGTTTCTCAACTGTATTTCAAAGCAATGACTTTATTTTCTATCAGCATTGTAGCCCCTCTTTATTCTTCAAAGATAGATATTTTAAGAAATCTCCCCAAACAGAAAACACCAGTGATTTTGGGCTCCACTCCATTGGCTGAAATACTCCAGAAGGAATTTAATTATTTTCCAAGTCTCATTCTGGTTCTCAGTAGGGCTCCCAGCTAAGGAATTTCTTTTGGAGTTATTTTTGGCATTGTGTGGGTACTGCCACACATGGGAGCGTAATGAAATACGCCTGTAGTACGGCTGTTTGGTGACAGACCTTCCTTGTGAGGGGGGGTGAGGCTGGTATAGAAGACAGGTAACTTGGGTTTCAGCCTTACGCTAGCCATTATATAGATATCTAGGCTGCTGACTTCAGGTGACTTATTCTTTTCCCTCCCCTGGATCTCGGTTTTCTCATTCGTAAAACAAAGAGGGAAGGTGATCTGAAGGATCTCTACTAACTCTGACCTTGCCACAGACTGCTGCTTAGCCCTATTTGTCCTTGAGTATTTGGGGTGGTGCCCTGCCCCTGACCCCTCCAGCAGGCCATCTAGCTGTAACCCCAGGATTTTAATCTGCCTAGTTCAGTTTGGAATTTGACCCTCTTTACTGAGCAGTGATAACATCTTTCCTTTCTTTTCTGGAAGCAAACTTTTTATAAATCTTACTTTGATTAGACTTCTCTAAAGGTATTCATATTCTGAAAGGCTTCTTCTACCTTGAGAGGTGCTGCCTTACACAAGGACTTGGATGGTAGTGGAATTTCAGTCTGTATTTTGTCTCCTCATTTCTAAAATTAGCCCAATATGTTCACTTCTGTCTTAATAAGGTCATAGTAATTAATATTCTGAGGACATAATACATTAACTATTTTCAAGATTCACTTATTCAACAAATGTTTATTGAGTACCTGTTATGTGCCAGACATTGTTCTAGGCACTGTGGATGTAGTGAAGAGACAAGTGACTAAATCAATTGAACTTATGGGTTGTAGAGGGACTTAGACAATAAACAATATAAGTAAAATGTGTGGTATATGAGATGGTGGTAAGTAGTAAAGAGAAGAATATAGTAGGCAGAGGGGACAGGAAGGACAGGTTATAGAATTATACTTTTAGATTTGGTAAATAGAGAAAGTCTCACTAAATAACATTTGAAAAAAGATGAAAGAACTGAGCAAAGGGAATGACATGTGCAAAGGCCCTGAGATAGGAGCAGATGGACTGTTCAACTGTGAAGAGGCCAATGTGGCTGGAGTTCAGTTCAGGCTTAATAGTCATTGCTATGTGGTAATGGGGGTCAGAGTTCATAAGCCATACATTATTGTCAAGACATTGGTTTTTAATTTGAACACGACAAGAAGCCACAGGTGGGTTTGAACCACAGAGTAAAGAAAGAGGTGTATTCCAGGGCAGTGTCCTGTCCCAGGGTAGTAACAACTGGGATTGAATCTGGATCTATTTTAAAGATAAGCTGAGAAGATGTGCTGGTGACTCAGACATGGGGTCTGAGAGAAAGAGAAGTCACAGAGGCCCCAAGTTGTTTTATTTTATTTTGTTTTTGCCCAGGGCACCTGGAAGGATAAATATAGTTACCACTGGAAGGATAAATATAGTTGCCACTTTATGAGGTGAGGAAGACTGTGTAGGAAAAGATTTGGGGACCATATGAGGAGTTTGGTTTTGGATGAGATGTAAATTTTGAGATGTGTTTTAAGCATTTTGTTAGACAAAAAAAATGTGAGAAATGTCAAGGTGGCAGATGGCTCTTCATACCTACAGTTCAGGAGAAGCCCAAGCTGCAGATAATATTGAATATCATGAGACTGGGTGGGCTAATTCATACACAGCCCTGGGGCTTTCCCTGTAGAGAGGCTGGAAAGAAGGAGAAACCCACAGGGAAGCTGCGGGAACTGAGGCACAGAGAGTGCGATTCACTTGAACTTTCAGAGCCATTAGGCAGCAGAGCTTGGACTGGAGCCCAGGTCCTCAGAGTTGAGGATCAGAGCTCTTTCCACTGGCCCAAAGCACCTTCTTTCTAATGGTACAAACTTACTCCTTGGACTGGAATTCTGTTCATGTCTCTGCCTGGGACATGTTTTGTCAAGTCTGAGCAGGACATGGATTTTTGACTCTTTCTCAGTGTGTTTGAAGTATTTCATTATTTCAAAATGCACTAAAATTAAAGACTTAGTGGGAGGCCTAGAGCG